CAAATAATCAGAAAGGTCTTGGGAGAAAGACAAACATTTATTTGAACTTCTGGTGATTTGTGCCTGGCTTGCCAAACCATACACATAAAAGTAATCTATTTTGTTTGGATTTGGAAAGAAAGCGAAGAAAACAAGGAGCAGGGAAACTATATAGTCTGTGATTAATTCCATCTGATGCTAATTGGGCCTAGCCTAGTCTGATAGCTTTACTTCAGTGTGATGGCAGCAGTTCATTCCTTCCCTTGTAGCCCTTTCCCACAGTGTCTTAATCCAGCTCCTTTATTTCCGTTGGCTTTTCTCCCAGGTTCCAGTCCTTGCTCCGTTTGTCTTTCAGATTGCACTACTGGCGTTATTTTTTTCAGACACTCCCCTTCCCAGATGGCTCTGACTAAACTCCTGTCAGTTTTAGTTTAAGTCATTCTAAATTGTTATTCGGGAAATCCCACATTCTTTGGGCGTGCTTTGGAAGGATTGCTAAAACTTGGAAAAGTTTTCAGGGAGTACTTTCACAAGTCATTAAAATAAATCAATGCATTAACAGGGAAGCATTAAGTGTTGGTAAGTTTCTTAATTGGCAACATTCAGGTACCAGTAGTAGTTAAGTGTTGGATTAGGAATGGGGAGACCCAGTTTATCCTCAGCCACAGAAACTGGGTGATTTGGGGTGAGTCATGCTCTTGGCCCAGCCTACCTCCTAAGGGAGGAGAAGGATGCCTCCACTAGTGTACAGTACATTATGTACATTACTGAGCTTCTGTACAAAAGGTGGGGTGTAAAACCAATTAATGTAGTTTCAAAGGGTTATATTGTACACGCTGGCAAGTTTCCATCTCATCAAAGAATCTTGTCTACTTCGTTCAGGAGTGAGCAGCTTTCCCAAAATTCAGGACAGAACCAGTGGTGGGATTCAAGCAATTTAACAACCGGTTCTCTGCCCTAATGATTTCTTCCAACAACCAGTTTGCCAAACTGCTCAGAAAGTTAACAACCGGTTCTCCCGAAGTGGTGCGAACTGCCTGAATCCCATCACTGGACAGAACTTGCTCTCCTTCACCAGTTTGGTTGTAAAATATAATGAGACGGGAAAGAAGGGGAGATCACAGAAAGAGGGGAAGCAATCATTTTGACTTATCATTGACTTGTGGTTGTTTTCAAGTATGAGAATGGCTGTAGACCAGGGCTCCTCAAACTTGGCAGCTTTAAGACTTGTGGACTTCAACTAATTGAATTCCCTAATTTCTTCCCTTTTTAAATATGTAAATTTTAATTTGTTTTTAAATTATTGGGGTGTTTTAATCTGTCTGGGCCAAAATGATTTAATTTGATTTTATCTGGTTTTTAAATTTTTTGTATTTATGTATTTTATTGTTGGCTGTTCACCGCCCTGAGTCCTTCGGGAGTAGGGCGGTATACAAATCAAATAAACCATAAACCTAAACCTAACTCCCAGAATTCTGGGAGTTGAAGTCCACAAATCTTAAAGCTGCCAAGTTTGAAGACTTCTGCTGTAGACAATTGGCTTCAAATAGCTGGTTTTCAGCAGAGTAATTTTGGCCATTTTGATGTATTCATAGGGGTTAAGAATAGAAATAGGAGTAGTTGTGCTCCCAATGTCCCCTCTCTACACTTTCCAACCTTATTTTGGTGGAAGGAGGTCATGTTTTTTTTTTAAATGGCATTTGGCTGTTTTTTGTTTTTTTTAAATTTGATTTATATGCCACCCTTCTCCGGAGACTCAGGGAGGTTTACAATGTGCTCAGCAATAGCCTTCATCCTTTTGTATATTTATACAAAGTCAGCTTATTGCCCCCACAACTGGGTCCTCAATTTACCTACCTTAGAAAGGATGGAAGGCTGAGTCAACCTTGAGCCTTGGCGAGATTTGAACCTGCAGTAATTGCAGGCAGCTGGTCTTAATAACCAGCTTAATAACAGGGTACCTTAGACCACTGTACTACCAAGGCTGTTGAATATTAATACAATCTCTAGATTCTGGGTAAACTCAGATGCATTTAGAAGGCGTGCTGAGATGATAATACTCAAGATTCTTTTCATACTTACACTGTCTTTATACAGCATAATTATAATTGTTTGGGAAGTGGAGTAGTTTTTAAAAACTGGAAAGGAGTATTGCCTACAAATATTCATAACCTGTAATGAACCATTTAAAGTGCTTTAGTATTGTGATAAAATCTTTCACCAAGAAGCCCACGTAGACTAGTATATGTGTTTTGAAGAACCAGAGAATCTGGGTGTAGCCAAGCAGTCTATAGCAGAAGTACTAAGCCAGCACATTATCCCTGAATTCTTTCTCTTTGCCCTGCCTTCTTTCCAATCACTTTGGACTTCTGTTTCAGCATCCTTGGAAGGTAAAAGTATTCTTGCACAGAGATGGAAACTACTATAACCTTTATAGTGGAAGCAGGCAATCATTATAGATATATAGAGAAGAAAATTGGTTTCATCACTCCTAACGTATCGTTGCCTTCTATTTTATTGGATGCCCAAATGAATTTGCTCATCAGGGAGACTAGCTGATATGTTGGGAATTGTGCTCTAAAAATTTAAGGACATGATGGGAAGGGACTTGGAAAATCAATCACCTGCTTTTTTTATATACTGTATAATAAGCAGCTTATAATTGAAGAGACTGCTGAAGGTTGTAGCAAATGCCTGTGGTTATCACAGTATTGGTGAAAAAGGATCCCAGCGGATAATGCCATGATACAAATTACACAGCTATGATAACTACTACTATGATAAAAAGGATTTTCCAGGGCCCAGGGTTTTTTCTAGTTTTTTGGAAATATTGAGTATTTTAAACCATGTTTAAAAACTGTGTTTAAACTATATTTAAAATCTTGGTTTTATACTTCATTTTCACTTCAGATAGCAGAAACTTGCAAAGAGAGAGAATTCAAGGGTCATGTGGTTAGTACTTCTGCTATAGACTGCTTGGCTACGACTGACACAAACATGACTAGATTATCACTCAATGGTACCTAGGAACTAGAGAGTTGATTGTCCCTGGACAAGGAGGAACAGTAATTCAGAATTTATACTTAGTTAACTCTCAAACATGGTATAATCTCTTGCAGGGCTGCCCTCTCAGAAGAGAAGAGATTTTTCCTTGTTTCTGAGTTTCATATTTTTCTGATAAATTGCCTCCTTATATTTTCTGCATCCCTGATTCCGTTCAGATAAATCATCCAAGAGAGGCTGAATTATTCCAGCCAATCACTGAGGCCTACCATGGGCAAGCTAAAAGTTCAGTGATGTTTTATATCTTTGACATATAGAAGTTCTTGGGCTCTTTATCCAGCAGCTCTAATTATAGAAACATGAGTTGCAACGAATGGAAAGACTTTGCCATGAGGCTATGAAAATCCATTTTTAATCACAGTAGGCGTTACTGGAATAGGTGGACCATTTTCTTAGTTGAAATAAAGCAGTTCTTTGTATCCTAGACGCTAATTCTTTTTTCTAAGCCAGCGAGCCATAAATTGCCTCCAGCTCTGAAACCAAAGCAGCTTGGAGCTGTTGAATGAAAAGGAACATATCTATTAATTGTTCTCTCGCGGGAATAAAATGTTATCGATCCTGGTGGAACGGAGGAAGCAAAGATCTTCCTGTTTGGCAAAAATAGATGGCTTTTGGCTCAAAATCAAAGATGACTGCACTTGGAAAGGCTTAAATAAGTTGACTTAGTTTAAAGATAAATCTGAAATAACATTTGGTAGTTTGTGAGTGAATATAACATACATATAACACATACAGAAACAACCTAAAAGTGATTCTTCAGAATTCACCCCGCTACCCACAACAGGTGGCAGCATCCAGCTAATCCTGGCTGATGTTGAAAACAAAAACAAGGGACAGATTTAGGATTGGGATGGGAAATCAGGAAATCCCAGGACTGAACAGAAAATTCAGTGGCAAGACGTGTCCCTGTTATTTCCAAGAAACGCATAATTGAATTTGATCCCCAGGGAGTCTTATCTTCATGCAAGACCAGTATCAAGCAAACATGATCTTTTTCCCCCTGTATTGTTTTAATGATAGCAGCAAAATATTTTCTATATACTGTAGTTAGCACATATCACTTAGGAGCACATTGGTCACCGATCTGGGAAACAGTTGTGTTTTCAGAACTGTTTTCTGTTTAAGAAAAGGGGCAGCCTGGAGTGCTTTATCATTTAATCTTTTTCTTTTCCTCCCCTGGCTTTGTTTTAAGAGATCAGTGGGTTATTATGGCATCAGCAGATAAGCTCTCTTCTTACCACTCTAATTTCCTTGTTTTTTTAATAAAAAGGGTGTTGATTCATTCTGCCCTGGTTCTTTCTTGATAATGCAACAATTGGTCTTTTCATGGCAGCCCACTCGGACTGGTCTTTATCTCTGTCCAGGTCTGCTTTTTATCTCAGTCCAGCACATGTCATGGAATAGGAGGGGATCTGAATGGAGCACTTGTTCCTTACAATTCCAGTCAGAATAGAACAAAGCGATAAAGGAGGAGGAAATTTAGCCTGGTTTAAAGGCCTTGTAGGGAGAAGAGTGATGCTTTTGCCCAAGTAAATCATAACAATCCTGAATTTAAATTTAAATCTAAACCAACTCTGTGTATTTTGAGTTGTTCACCAGGCAGAGGGTTTGTTTTATGTTTGTATTACTTAAAAACAAAATAAGTAGGATTGAGAAAGAACTTTAAAAGCACTTGGTTTTGGATATAAGCAATAATAATGACTTTAGGGATAGAGAAGGATGAAACAAAATGGAAAATGCGGTCTTACACCTGACCTTTGACTGCATTTTGCACCTCCAGATAAATGGATTTATTTTAATCTTTAGAAAAACAGGACAGTTATAATATATATGTGTGTAGTCGTGATGATTGAACTGTAAATGTCATTTCTATACAAATTGTATAAAAATAATTGAAATGTAAATTTCTGTAAAGTTGAGATTTTGATTCTCTCTCCTTTTTTTTTCCTGCCTGAAAGGCTCAGAGGCCCAAAATCCTGAACAATATTGAAAATCAGCTGGATGAACTGGGAGCCACAATAGCACAAATGAAGAGGATAGTGGACCTCATCAAAGTATTTCACCACTTTTATTTTTTATCCCCAGTAAAAAGCAAAATGTTGAACCCTCTGAAACCTTTCCTTTCCACAGACTTTCCTCCCTTTATTGTCTGTTGTCAAGAGGTAACAAAAATAAACCATCCTTCCCCTCAGGAAGGGGTCAATGAGGTTAAGATGCTAGAGACTACAGTCCCAACATATCTGGAAAAACTGAGGAATGCTGTCTTCAAGAAGTGTCCACTTAGTGATTATAGGTCTGTTCTATAATTCTCTGTATTAATTAATTCGCATATAAATAAAGGACAAATGTACTGCTCCCCCATTTCTTATGCAAATATGTTCCTGAGAACTAAATTACAAATGCAACAAAATCACATGAGGCTTCTTTCCTTGTATAGCAGATATGACAGTGTTTAATGTTTGATCCCCTGGAATTGGGACCCCATATCCATAGAAAAGTAGTACTGTAGGGCAAAGATAAAGTTAATGGATAATTTTTATGATAGAAAAAAAGCTTCCTTATTCTATGAAATGTAGTAAGGATTGGATGCTGTTCCTTAGAAATGGCAAAACTCTACAATTTTACAAAAATTCCCTCAATTTGGGAATGGAATGTTCCTGATAATTCCAGAACATTCTATTCTGAATTTGCTACTTTTTGCGGTATTTCTAGAACAGCCATGGTGGTGTTTTTTTTTTTTTTTACTTCTTCCAGTTTCTTAGCCATAGTTAAGAGATGGGGAGTATTCTCATATCCCTCTCTTCTTTTTTCAGTATTGACATTCCACTTTAATGTTAGTTTTAAGTTTTCCACAGCAATATGATTACCCTGCAAAGAGAACGGCACAGTAAATTGAATTAGGAAAAATTATTAAAATGAGGGATGGAAAAGAAACTTGTGAATCTGGAGGACAAGGAAAGAAATGAAAAACACAAAGACCTTAGCTGTACTCAATTTGCCAAGAGATAGAGCCCTAAATGCATTTTTAGAAAACTTTCTAAGAAGCAGTTTTTATAAATTTTCAGGAAGAAGCAGTTTATGTTTTTCTTCTACAGTATTTTCTCATGAAATCCTCGAGTTTTAGAGAAAAACTCTTCTTTGATTCATTTGGGGAAGTTTATGTCAGTAGGAATGAGGGCACTTTATTTTTTGAACAGGGAAAAGGGAGAGGGGAGACAAACAGTTGAAATTCAGTTATTTTGCTGCCAAATTTAAGGCAAACTATCTTCAGATGCCATTAGCAGCAGATGGAGTGATGGAGGCAGGGGTGAAATCCAGCAGGTTTTGACAGGTTCTGGAGAACTGGTAGCGGAAATTTTGAGTAGTTCGGAGAACCAGCAAATATCACCTCTGGCTGGCCCCAGAGTGGGGTGGGAATGGAGATTTTGCAATATCCTTCCCCCAGGAGTGGGGAGGGAATGGAGATTTTGCAGTATCCTTCCCCTGCCACGCCCACCAAGCCACGCCCACAGAACCGGTAGTAAAAAAAATTTGAATTTCACCACTGGATGGAGGGTTGTATGTAACCCATGAAGTCACCTTTACTTTTCAGTGATAAACACCTATCTCACCCACTAACTTGGTTATTAAAAATACACATTGGATAAAGGATAGTTTTTCTCTAAAACTGGGAGATTTCATGAGAAAATACTATAAAGCCAATTTTGCCATAATTTTTCTCTGATTAGGAGTCTGAATAAGGATAGGAAGCTTTCTGTTCCCATTCCTATCTTTAACCTGCTTAAAGCTCTAAAAAAACAGTCACCAAATCTTCATCCCTTCTCCTCCTCCTCCTGGATCATTGCTGTACTAGTGGAAAGCCTTCTGGAACCTTCAGCAAACTGGAAGGCTCACTTCTCCTGATTTCTATATAATAGCCAAACCTGAGTGTAGAGTTTGGGAGAAAGGGTAAAAAATGTTGATTGCCTACTCTCCCCGTAGTTGTTAATAATAAAAAAAAAGATTCTTTCTTTTGATGGGTTCCATATTGTATTTTCACAGGCTACTTCTTAAAAGTAGGTTTCACGTGATAATTCATTCGTTCTTATTTGGGAAAGCTTGGTTTATTCACATTTTAGGCAATGATTTTTGTTGTCCATCTTTATTTTTTTAGGCTACTGCTCAGAAGGAGAAGGAAAAGGTCAGCAGTCTCCTTACCGAGGCCACCAAGGTCCTGGCAACCTTTAAGAAGGAAGTGCTTGGTTTCATTGAGGTTGATGAAAGAGCCATGCTAGGCGGAGCGGAGGAGGAACTGCGGCATAAAGAAAATCGACATGCCCTGCTGATGGAACACAAGCGGAACCTGGAGAAAGTCCCCAGTACAGACACCATCACTTTTCTCCAGGTGCGCTCCAAGAATTATTTTTGTAGGTGATTTAATTGCCAGTAGAGACATAGCATAGGCTTCATTGCATCTCTTCTCCACCTGGGCACTCAGGATGCATCAGCAATCCCCAGAGAAGGTCCAGCAGTAACTCTGGAGCTCTTGCTCAAAAGCCAACTCCATACCCATATCTATTTGCACAGTACAAATTTGTTTGGTTGGTACCTAAAAAGCCCATTATATGAAATAGCATCCAGGGGTCTCCATCAATATAGTCATAGGGCAGCAAGAGCTTTGTGCACTTGTCTTTAATATAAAGGGCTAGTGAAAAAGGATGCTATGCTTAATAGTTTGCGTCTATCGGGATGGTTCCATATGAGTGGATGAATGTGCTCCATATGTTTTTCTTCTATTATCCCACCACTTCTCTGCTTCTTATTCATCCAAGATCACATGTTCATTCCCATCAAGATCTCTACTAGGAAATGTTTTCCCATTTCTTTCACTCTTGGAGGCAAGGGGCCTTCAGTATCAGGAGAAGGCTCTCTTGGATTTGATGCTGTTCCAGATGAAGATCCAGGAAGAGAGTGTGCCAGTAGTTACAGCCAGTAGAGCTTGTGTACCCCTTCTTTCCCCCACTTCATCTCCTGCCACATCTGTGTTGAGTTTTTAAGCCAGTTAAGTGTTAGTGACCTGAGAAGAGCTGTATCTGCTGAATAGACCTTATAGACAAACAATTGCTGTAACTTTGTTTGTTTTCTTGACCAGGAATTCCAGGCATTAAAAATAGCAGCTGAGGAAAAAAACCTTGCATGTTCAAACTTCCCCAGAGAGCTGAGTTTTATTAAATCGAGTCAGGCCGTGTTTGCTGTGAAGGAGCTGCTGGGAAATATTTGCAAGAACCAATGGGACCAACTGTCAGGGAAGGGTGAGAATGGACCTTTTCTTCATGGGATACCAGAAGGTTTGTAATTTATTTGTTTACTGAATTTTTATAATTATCCATCTCATAATGGAAGAAACCCTGAGACTTGGGCAGAATTCTTGTCCTTCGAGAGTTGCCCTTCAGCTGAAGTACCAGATCTTTATGGCTGTAGAATAGGAGCTATATGTCACCAGTGGAGTCTGGCGACATCCATTCACTGAGACTGTCCATTATGCTAAGAAATGGTCCCAACCTTTGTGGCTTGGCGGCCAAGCTAGAGGGGACAGGAGAACCGGGCTATGTGAGCAGTGGGCCAGCGCACGTGGTCCGCTAGTGCAGCCAGTTCCAAATAGGCCGTGACCTGAGAATTGGAGACTCCTGTGTTAAGCCACAGTATGGTTTCTTCAGTTTGGCTTAGTTCATTGGGTTTGCGTATTTAATTCTTGGCTTATTCAGCATTCTATGATAAAGTATTCATGATACTTGCCCTAAGATGTCAGTTTTGTTGTTATCTACATGTAAGTCTTAAAAGCTCTGTCAACTGTTCTCACTGTGAGGTTCTTGTTCCTTTTCTTTCATGCAACTTTTCAGAGTTTCATATGTATAACTTTCATATTACTCTCTGATTTTTTTCTGAAAGTACCTAATTCTTTTTTTCTTGTGCAACAGTGGCATGCAAACTTTGCTTTTTATGGTAAACTATTCTGTAGAGTTTTGATAAGTCTTTATTTTAGGACTTAGATGGGGGAGGATATTCAAATCCACTGGCTACGATTTATATCTCTTAAGTCCCCTGTGGCACTATAGAAGGGGCACAAAAACAATTTTGAGTTAGCATTTGTGATTAGCAGATCAAAATGAAATGCTAGCCTTTCAAGGTGAAAAGAAGCAAGATAGGCACCATCTAAAAAAGATGCAACTGACAAAAAATGCAAGATAGGAAGAATCTAAGCGGTCTTAGTTATTTAGGCTTTTAATAGCACTCAGATGTTTCAAAAATGACTCAAATATATAAACAGGCAACAAACAGACATCACTAGGTGTGGTTACTGGTGGTTTGGGAAACATATCCAAAGCTGGTGTCCTTGAAATAACAGAACAGAGACAGGGTTTTTACTTGTTAGTTTTTGATTTCCAGACTCTTATCCTGCCAGATTCAAAGCTCATGTTGCTTATTCAGTTGAAGATGAAGATTGCTGGCTCATTTCTAAGTTTGAAATCTTAGTTGTTTGTGTTTTCTTTGTGCAGCTGTTTAAAACATTATTACATTAGAGCTGTTCCGCATCTGACTGTCACTGGCAGGGAAGTTTGGATTTTAATGGTAATTAACAAATGCTTATGTTCTGTAGCAAATTAAATAGAAATATGTAAAAGAACTGCCAGAGCTTTTTGCAGTACATACTGTCACTTCACCATCTTGCCAGCATTATTACCTTCCCCACTCCCACCCCTATTACATTTAGGTAGAACTACAGATAGTCCTCGAGTTATGACTACAATTGAGCCCAAAACTTATGTTGCTAAGTGAAACATTCATTAAGTGAATGTCCAGGAGCCTGGATAGCTCAGCAGACTAATGCATTGTAATTTAACTCCAGCTGTCTGCAATTAGTAAGTTCGAATCTCACCAGGCTCAAGGTTGACTCAGCCTTCCATCCTTTCTAAGGTAGGTAAATTGAGGACCCAGTTTGTGGGGGCAATAAGCTGACTTTGTATAAATATACAAAAGTATGAAGGCTATTGCTTAATGCACTGTAAGCCGCCCCGAGTCTCCGGAGAAGGGCGGCATATAAATCAATTTTTTTTTTAAAAAAAAAGTGAGTTTTGCCCCTTTTTACAACATTTCTTGTCACGGTTGCTAAGTGACTCACTGCAGAGGTTAAGTTAGTAACACGGTGGTTAGGTGTATCAGGCTTTCCCATTGACTTTGCTTGTTAGAAGGTCACAAAATGGGATCACGTGACCCCGGAACACTGCAACTGTCATACATACCATATGAACCAAGCACCCGAATTTTGCTCACATGACCATAGAGATGCTGCAACAGTCGTAAGTGTGAAAAGCGGTCATAAATCACTTTAGTGCCGTTGTAATTTTGAACAGTTAGAAGTCAGATACACATCAGGGATGAAAATCACTGCTTTTCCCTGAAGGAAAATAAAATGTTTGCATTCCTCCCTCCACCCCACCACACCCATATCCTTACATCATGTTTTGTACATTTGTTTGATCATATGCAAAACAAAAATGGAAATGGATCTTATGAAAAATTATTTTTCTCTTTCAAAGATCTGCTCAGGCCAATAAGCAAAAAGCAGGGTGAGGCAGGGTTTTTTTTCTGTAAATGGTAAAAACAGTTCCCATGCAAACTCCACAGAGCCTGTGTCAGCCCTTGGATGTAGGCCAGGTCAGGAAACAGCAGCACAAGAAATAATAGATCTCCATTCTATTGATATACTATAGGCTATATTAATAGACCCTTGAAAGCCTGACGTTTCTCATCCCTGCTCTCTTATACCAAAGAGAGTCAAGGTGGGACAGTCTTGAGTTTTTTTCTTGTCTTTCCCAGGTTAAGGTCATGTTTTCCCAACACTTACCACTATCTTCTTCAAGACATCCCCATACTCATTTATGTTATTTAGTTCTCCAAAAAAAAAAAAACCCAAAAACCCAGTTTGGCAATTCTTTTAGCTGTCAGTGACAATGTATGATCACATAGCATGAAGTGGAATGTGGAGACTTTCCCATAAATACTCTACCATTTTTTGATCCCCCTAAAGTCTTGGCAGTAACCCACAGAGTCCTTTGAAAATTGGCTCCACCACTTATGCCCAGTCCAAAAAAGTTGTGCATTATATATAGAAAGGGACAAGTTCTTGTAAAATCAAGGAAAACGTGCTACCTCAACTGAGTTTTCTGCTGGCATCCCTACCTGTAGTTTGCAAATTATACAGAATTCACAATACAGCGTTAGAATTGGGACCTTATGTTAACATATGTAGTTGTTCTCTTGTGATGCATTATCAGCTTTAAAATGTTTCAGGATCCAATCTGGGTCAATCACTGGGACCAGAGGTTTAGTCTTCCAAGCTTTCAGAATCATGATGGAGCCCATCCTCAGGGAACTTGTCTCTCACCAGAAAGTGAATCTGACCAATCCAGATTGCATCCTGCAACATTATCCTGGGACGCATATATCTGCCTTCATTCCTAAAAATGTTTTACACAGCAGGTGATTTTAAGCCTATATATGTTCTATGAAGATCACAGAATGTAAGGCATAAGAAGATATGCCCCCATCTGGCTGATATCAATTTGCCTTCCTCTAAAACCAGGAAGAAGTTACTGTTTTGGGACAAAAGGCTTCTTTATGGTGATGATATTTTCAGTTCTGTCTGCAATGTTGACATTATATATTGATGACAAATTCTTCTTTTCACAGTGACAATTGAACCGCAGGTTTCAGAAAGGAGCATCAACCCTGCCAGTTTGGAATCACGAGATTATTTTCTCAAATGTAAGGTCATTTGTTTTCTGCATTTTTCTCCTTGGTTTTCATGCCTTGTTTTTGACTGATAAGATAACCTTTATTGTCATTTTTTAATGGATTGAAACATCATACAAAATTCTAAGCAGTGGTATCTCCAGCGATATATCTTTATTTTTTCGGCAGAATAGAATAGAATAGAATAGAATAGAATAGAATAGAATAGAATAGAATAGAATAGAATAGAATAGAACAGAACAGAACAGAACAGAACAGAACAGAACAGAACAGAAGAATAACAGAATTCTTTATTGGCCAAGTGTGAATGGACACACAAGGAATTTGTCTTGGTGCATATGCTCTCAGTGTACATAAAAGAAAAGATACGTTCGTCAAGAATCATAAGGTACAACACTTAATGGTAGTCATAGGGAACAAGTAAGCAATCAAATCATATTAGGAAACAATCAATATAAATCGTAAGGATACCAGCAACAGGTTTACAGTCATACAGTCATAAGTGGGAGGATATGGGTGATAGGAACAATGAGAAGATTAATAGTAATGTTTTATGTAGCGTTTTATGATGTTTAAAAGTATGTTTTTAATTGTTACCTAGCTTTGTTTTATTTGCTGATTTTTAGTGTAAACCACTTTGAGATGTCTAAATAAGAAGTAGTATATAAATATTTTAACTACAATAACTAGCATTTTAAAATAAATGCTCCTACCACTCTGAAAATATTGTGTGCATGTATGTATTTATATATAGCATATATTGCAAATACATATACATCTCCTGTCACTCTGAAAATGCAAATATTGTGTGTGTGTATACATACATATATATATATACGTGTATGTATGTGTGTATCATATATTGCATACACACACGCATATATAGATGGTTTAATATGAGAACACTGCTTTTTGTGGAGAGAGGGCTTGCTTATTCCCTGAGTCTTCCTTGTTTATCATTTTCAAGCTTTTTATATATTTGCTTTTGTACAGCTGCATTCATCATTGATTTGGACAGTGATACTGCTGACAAGTTCATCCAACTCTTTGGGACCAAGGGGGCTAAGCGTGTGCTGAATCCCATTGCTTACCCTGAGACCTCAACCAGGTTTATCAACTGTGAGCAAGTATTGGGTGAGAATCTTATGAACCGTGGCAACTATTACTGGGAAGTGGAGATCATAGATGGTTGGGTGAGCATTGGGGTCATCACTGAAGATTTCAATCCCCAGGAATCATATGACCGGGGCCGCTTAGGCAGGAATGAGAAGTCATGCTGTCTACAATGGAACGGCCAGAACTATGTTGCGTGGTTTGGCGGATTTGACTGTGTTATACAGCAGCCATTTTTTCATACTATTGGGGTGTACTTGGAGTATTCAGAGAAGGTGCTGACATTCTATGGAGTCAAGGATTCCAAGATGACTTGTCTCCAGCAGTTCAAAGTGGCTCGCTTCAAAAAGGGGCATTTTGACCCTTTCCAGAATAAGATCAACCACCAGTTTCCAGCACTGTTCACACATAACCTCAAGCCAGCCTTTTTTCTCGAAAGCGTAGATGCTCACATGCAGCTCGGGCCTTTGAAGAAAGACTGTGTTTCAGTACTTAAGCGGCGATAATTTGGTCAAGGATAAATAATTGGAGAAGTAGGATGTTTGTGACATCTCTGCTGGAGCACTGCATCATCTTTCTGAGTTAGTGTTGATGAATTAATCATACTTGTTGCTGCTCTTTTTACTTATTTGATAAGTATCAACATTTAAAGACGCACTTTTCAGCAAAATGTTTTCTTCTCTTGGACATAATTAGGGATCGTTTACAAAGGGCTTGATCTAAAGCAAAAGACATCTCCATTTCATCTATATGAACCAATGGTATCTCCAGAGACTGTGCTCTGTTTCATAAGTAATACATGGATCAATAATCAATGGTACCATGGAAACCCATCTTCATAATAGCAGGCAGAAAAAATACTACCACTGATCAAAAAAATGTATGCTAAAGGCCATCACTTGTTTTTAAATGTCGCTAGATGAATACTGCTCTTCCACTGCATTTGAAAAAAAACCAATTGTGGAGAAAACAATGGTGTCAGCTGTCAGCAGAGCAAATGACATATATGAACAAATATATTCAGCTTTGGATTACAATAGCAAGAAAAACAATATGGGGCTGTGGGGAGCTTTAGTTGATTCTTAGCTTAAATCTAAATTTTAGTTTAAATATTAGAAATATAACTTTGAGATTAAATGAAGCATCTATGGCTGTGTGTCAGCCCCGCTAGGTAGACCAGTTCAGGAAATGATCCACAAAGGAAGAATACAATTTTTACTGAGATCGGCTATAATAATTGAGTCTTGCAAGTCTGATTGTAATATACCACCACCTCCTTGTAGTGCAGTGAATTAGGGTGCCATCTGCCTGAGCTGCTTCCAAATGTTATCTCGTTTTGGATTTTAAAATGTTCCTGTTACTTTTGTCTAGGTAATGATTCCTGTATGTTTCCATCACAGTCACATTGCATTCTCTGTACTTTAATGCTATATGTGCCTGTTTATTAACATTGGGTTAAAAAGTGTACAAAGTAAACTGAGTTGCAGATCTGAATGTGAGGTACTCAAGAGATGAGTATCTGCACAAGAAGAGCAGAATGTTTAAGACTGGGTTGCAAGTTTCCCTTTCCTTACAGCATCTTACAGGCACAGAAGTATTATAAAAATGGAGATTCAGTAGCTTTCTGCAATCACTGGCTGGTTGAATCTGATGGAAGTTGAGGCTTATTAGCCTCTGAAGGACCGCAGATTCCTATTTCTATGATATATTCTGCTTTTCTTAGCTGTATTTTGAGTACATATCCATTGAAGTACAATGGAAAAAAGACTCAGAGAATAGGGATTGAACTTTCATGTATAACAAGGATACGAAGTGTATAAAATCCATTCTTTTCAAATATACTAAGAGAACACTGTAAAACATTTATAAATTTACCATAATTTAGTCATGGTGGTAGAAGTGGTGAGGAAATTCTAGCTGCTATTGTTAAAAAAAAAAAAAAGATTTCAACCTATGAGGAGACCCAAGTTTTTCATTAAACTTAGGCTATTTTTAAATTGTTTTGTGACTTTTTTTAGATTGTTTTGTTTAGAACAGGATTGACAGCTGAGTTCAAATAAACCATCCATTGAATTCTTTCTAGAAGATAATATGCTATGAGCATTCATAATGTAAATTAGAATTGAATGAGGAGAAAAATTAGAGACAGGTTTTTTTGCAATCACAGGAAGATTTTGTTCTTTGAAACGTTAATCTAATGCTAGCCCACTTCATTAATTCTGTGATCTCAGGATTACATTGATACAAGAGAGTTTTGCAGTATTAATGAGTAAATTATTTGCCTTCAAAACGTATTTTGTTACATTATATCCTGTATCCAAACTGAAAGTATAGTAAATTTGATTAATCATGAAATTAATTTAATAAGAGCACTTTTCTTTGCTGCTGGGCCTCACTGAAATGTTCCTGCCTTTCATTAAAAAAATGTGGGGTCCTTATAGTTTTGTTTGTGTATCCTTCCCTTAATGAAAGCACTGCAGCATAGTGCTGAAATACACGCCTTGTGTTTTTTTTTTCAAAAAAAGTTTTCACCATCTTTCTATAAAGGAAAAAAATGATATGTACATGATGTACATATTGAATTGCATGTTGCAATCTAGTATCTTAAATTTATATCCAATTAATGTTAGGAAGGTTACAGAATTTAATAAATAGATTACATACGTTTGAATTTGTAAGAAAGTCAAAGTAGTACATAATCCACTCTACTTTGAAATTAGGACTTTTTAAATATTTAAAGATGGTTAGTTACTGAAATAGATGGAGCCATCACTGCAGGACTTGACAGAAGGGGCACTCAAGATGGTGGAGAGGATTTCATTGTCCCTAACACAGGGGTGTCAAACTCAAGGCCTGGGGGCCAGATTTGGCCCACAGGGTGCTTAGATCTAGCCCGCGGGGCCACCCTGGAAATAGCGAAGGACCAGCGAAACCAGAGTTCGCAAGGGCCGCACATGGCTCCCCCTAGCTCTGTTTTCACTGGCAGAGGGTTGCAAGAGGCCATCCTAGCTGAAAATGGAGCTTGGGAGCCCGTTTTCGCTGGCAGAGTGCTTGGGCCACCACATGCCCCCACCCGACACAAGTGATATCATGCTGGCCATGCCCATCATGATCCCCCCCAAGGTCAAACACAATCCTAATGCTGCCCTCAATGAAATTGAGTTTGACACCCCTGCCCTAACAGGACAGAAGGCACAGTTCTGTGAAGAGAGGATCTACATGCAGATGATCCCAGTTAGGGGAGGTAGACACTTTGCTCCTTCATTTTTATGATGCAGCTATTGTAAGGGGTGAGGTCCTGTATTTTGTGATTTATGGAACAACTGGTTGATGGAAGCAAGGCCACACTTAAATTGAGGAGTTTGTAGAGTTGTGTCAGACATATGACTGGGACACGATTTTCTTTTTTAAAAGAAAATCCTGTTCTCACCCCATTCAGGATGAGAATTGATTTTTTTTTAAGGTGTTAAGGTGAATTAAAGTGTAGGGGTTTTTTGAGTCATCTGCTTCAGCTTCTCAGGAAACTACATCATTATATTTTATCAGTCATGCTGCCAAGTTTGATAGCAGAGGGGAAGCTTCAAATGTTATGAAAAGGAAATGTGGAGGCTAGACACCAGTGAGAGGCTGCAGACTGGAAATTCCTTTATATTTCCTGGTTAAAGATTAACAACAATACAAATCTTTAGGGCATGAAATCATTTATAATCACATGATAATTATTCTTAGACCATTGAATACAACAGGTATTCTAAGCTTTCTAAACAATCCAGCATTAATCTTGTCATAATGTGGTTAAAAATTAATATTCCTAGCTCTCATTCATTACATTATGGTCTTGCGTAGTTATTCTTCCACATCTGATCATAAGGTTTCATTTGTACACAAGGTTCTCAGAGCATTTAGTTTGGAAGAAAACTTCGGAAAAATGTGTTTTATCCACAGCTGGGCTAGCCAGGAAATTTTGTTATAAAAATCCATGGCATAAACCACAATAAATTGGAATTAAAAAATTGTTCAAACCACAAAAATATGTTTTTATTTATTTTGCTTTGGCAGTATATGTGCCTGTTCTATGTGGCAAAGACTAAAAGTCAAGCTTGTCTCAGTTCCATGTGCTTTCTGCTACCTTTATGTGGCCTTCAGATGATTTACTCCATTTTATTGTAAAAAAAACATACAGTAATGTTGAAGGAGGGTGAAATGAAACATTGAGCTAGTACATTCTGGTGTTTGAGAAAACTAAAAATCTGGTTAATGACATCTAATGGTTCAAAATTACTGAGATAGCTAAAAGGGCAGACTCAAAATCATGAGTTGTTCTTTTTCCATTCACACTTATTAATGGTGAACTTAATGCCCTCCCTAAAGCATTGAAGCAGCAAATGGGAGAGGAGGCATTACTTGATTATTCTTGTTGGCATTCATGACCAGAATAAAGCCAAATGGATTCTCTACATATGCTCTTGAGCTTCTAATATAAGCATCTGTGTTTTATACACAATGAGAACAGCAGAGAAGATATGTTCCCATTATAAAAACGCTGCATTTTTTTTAAGAATTGGAGGGATCCATAGGAGTGGTGTAATGGCAAATGACGAAACATGTATATCATGCAGATGCAATGAGTTACATGCTTGTACCAGATATTAGAAGATGATGTAGGTTAATACTTGCATAATATCACCATGTGCATTGGGCATCATCACTTTCACAGATACCCCTCAAAACAGGTTCTTGAGTTTGCTTGTTTCTTCCTTCATTATCCAATCCTTTCAGCTGAAAATTTCTTTTTAATGTACCTAGGAAAATTAAGTTGTATTATTGTATAACCATTTAGTAAAAAGTGATAATTTGGAAATGGTTTGGAAAATGCAAGGCCACATTTCAAAAACTTATTTTAATTCTTAGGTTTTTATAAAAATCCAAACGATTTGAAAAGTTTCCTTGATTTACTGAATTAAATTCAAAGGATGGAGGCAGGGTTTCATGATAGAGTTGCCTGAGAGATCAGTTCAGGAAACAAGACAAAACTTCCTGTGAATGGGAAAATTACATTTTCTGTTATGTGTCAGAAACATAACAGATTGTTTGCCTCTTGCCTGCTCATTACAGACAAGCCAGAAGAAAGTCAACTTGCTTGTATAAAAAGGATGTGGCCGAATTATTTTGTATATTATGGATAGAGGGCCCCTTTAGGGAAGAGCACAACTATGTATAGGAATTAATGGAAGTGAAAATCATTATTCACATGACTAAGCAACTATGTATGAGTGACAAACTACACATTATGTACAAACCACAGAATGGGTTCTGAAAAGAAATAGAATGAGCCAAATTGAAATAAACTATTTTACACCTTTTTACTTGAGCCCTGAGAGCATCTGGCAATTTTAGAAAATACAAAATTAAAACAACAGAAATTCAAAGGTATACATTAAAACCAAAAGAAGCATTCATTATAAGAGCTTGGTTAGAGATGCATCTGGGCGAGGGTAGGCAATTAATTTTCCCAAGAGACCACATAAGAAATAGGGACTGTTGTGGAGGGCTGAACTAATAGAGATCTGAAAATGTGTCAGTATTCATGCACTAACATATATACACACATTTTAAAAGTTGCATCCAAAATAAAAGCAATGCAGTTGTATGCATGGCAACACTTATTTACATTTGATCTCTTAATTTTTTATTGATCTCATGCAGGCTGGATAGGGACAACCAAAGGGCCAGATGTGGTTCATGGGCTGTAAAATGATCCGAGCTTTCTTTATAATGGAAGAAAGAAGGCATTCTACTGTTTAGGAGCAACACAGGAATAAACCCTCTTCTATGTGTCAGATACTATGAATGAGTTTGACAAAAGGAACATCAGAAAATTTCTCTTGCAGCTCTTACTGGTTAGAGCTAGATGTGGTCCTAACATAATCAGCAGTCTCTGAGAATCAGATTGCAAGCCATTTAACATTGAAACCTTCGATTGTGCCTGTGTAACAAATAGGTTCAGTATCCATCCAATATTCTTCAGATGGAACATGAGTTACAAGGTGACCTATATTTCTAAATATGTCTGGAAGCAGCAACTTCCATTACGTCCTACGTTCTTGCATTTTATTTTTGCAACATCTTATGAGAGTTGCCCATTAATACTTTTTTGCATAGGTCCAAGGGCATACTCGCCAAAATATGAAGGAGTAACTCAAAATGCAGTAGGGATAGTTTTAAGGAAGCGAAATAAGTAGTATCAGAATCTGAAAGTATTGTATCTAATTAGCAAAACTTAAGATTTAAAATTTAAACTCTCTTAGACTAGCATGATGTAACTTTAAACTTTATTCCGACATTACACAGTTGCGTTTCCTAAAGCATCAACTATTGTGAACAGAAATCCAGTGTGCTTATCCAACGTCATATACAGACAGGAGTTCGTGATTAGAAACTTCACCCCTCCCACTTTCCTGCAAATTTTACCGTGGTCAAAAGCCACCTTTTTAACCAATGAACTACATTTCCCACCATGCCTTGGCATCGCCCCTCGTTGCTGTATTCCTCTTCCGGTCCTGTTTGTTGCCTAGAGCTCCTCTAAGCCGGAAGTCGCTCGCAGAACTTGCGTAGAGCCGCTTTATTAACGGCTGGAGCCTCTCAGTCCAGCGGGCGTTGGATAGAGAGTCATCAGTTGCTTAGCGGCCATGGCGCTGAACAGGAACCATTCGGAGGGAGGCGGCGTCATTATCAATAACAGCGAAAGGTATTGGGGGCGTCATTTGCGGCTCGTGGGGTCCGGTCTGAGCATACTGCGTCAGCGGCTCTTCCCCCTTTACTCCCCGGCTCCTGATTCCTGGGGCCCCGCCCTTTCGCAGATGCCCCGCCTCCAGGGGCGGAGAGAGAAAGTTCGCCACCCAGGACTCCCTGATCTCGCCTTTTCTTGCTTTTTCCATTGTGGGGGTGATCGACTCGATCCTTTCGATCACAAATAGGCTTAGTCTTTAGAGTACGATGCCCTTTTTTTTGTTATGCTGCAAAATGGTCATTTTCCTAGAAATTTCTTAGCTGAAGGCATAGTAAGATTAAAGCAAAATTAGCTAACAATGGAAAAACAGCTAAGAATTGTGTGTAATAGAACTTTTCCTGAGCAAAACATATTTTTCTAAATATCCTCAGCTCGTAAAATTTTGTAAAGAGTGTTTGTTTTTTGTTTCCAAAGACTTTAATTTATTCCCTCATTTCCCATGAAGATACTTTGAAACAAATAAGATTTCTTTCTTATTCCCTTTCACCTATGGCAGGATGATATTACTAGCAGTAAATATCAATCATATAAGATACCTTTTTCCATTCTTGGCAATATGCGCAAATCTGAGCAGCTGGCAATTGCTTAACACATTGTAAGCCACCCTGAGTCTCCGGAGAAGGGCGGCATATAAATTAAAGCAAAAAAAA